GGGAGGAAAGGCATGACCCCATGAGAGACCAGTGACCCGGGTGCTGAGGGAGGCCAAGCTGCCCTGTCCTGTGACTGCTCCTGTTCTTCTGTCTGCTCGGTCTCTCCTCGCCTGCCTGACGAGACGTCCTTTCATCCAACGACTCCTGTCCTCGGCAGGTTCCTGCTTTTGTATTGGTGTCAGTTCCTCCGGCCGTGACAAGGGGTAAGTTCGCCGGAATTGCTCGAGGGAGAGAAAGTACTTTGGCAAACATTGCTCAGGCGTGGCAGGTGCGATGCCAGGAAGTCAGGCAGCAGCTAAGACCTAGGTGCAAGGCGAACCCATCTGTTGGCCATATGTTGACAGTGTGTTTGTTGTGTGTGTATACATATATGGTTGGATTAATAAAATGTTAATCTAAGGAAAGTTAACACAAATTTATTCAACTAAGCTCAGAGGAGCTCGCATAATACGGCTTAACACTGCATCAAGATGGTGCAAATTTACGCACAATCACACACAAACTTTGCATATATACATATATATATATATATATATATATATATATATATATATATATATGCTCATAATGCATATATATACATATCTATAAATACATATATGTATATATATGTATAGTTACATAGCGATATATATACATATAGACAGCATATACATACATATACACATATATATTATATATATATACATATACACATATATACTGTATATATACTGTATATATATACATTAATTAAGACCCACCCCTTTACCATCATATATTGACACTATTGATATGATTTCATTTTAGTATGCATTCCCTTCCATTTTTTTCCTTATTTGTTTACCATTGTTATTAAATGACAATGTTCAAAGAGAATATACTGAAGAAACACTTATGATATATCGCACAGATTGACAGGAGTGAAAATGGGGCGGAGCTAAATGACGTCACTGCGTAAAGCTGATGAAGGATTGCTGTGATAAAGCCGAATGAAGGATCATTTGTTTAATCTACCGACATTGTCAGAATTCCTTTAAATGCCTTCTTTATATGCATAAATTAGTATACACACATGTATATATATGTATGTATTTAAATTTATATATAATTTGTATAAATATATAAATGAAAATATTTTTATATATATATGTATATAAATACATGCATATTTCTTTATATGTGTATATATGTGCATACATACATACATATGCAATGTATAATTTAACATACTGATAATTGAAATAAAGGAAAAAAATATATAAGAATGGTAACTGTGATGGTTGATAATCATAATCATATTAAAGTCATTAAAATAATGATTATATGATAATAATACAGAACCATGATAATCTGATAATAATGATAAATGACAGAACACTTACTAGAAACACTGATGAAAATAAGAACAATGGTAATATCGACAGTTATCCTAAATCTTTACTAAAATGTCCAGCATGTGATTTAAGGAAGCAATGCCATTTCCAATATTCCTTCGCTCATTTGACCTTGGGAATGAAGTAGAAATAGCATAGCAGTGGGCGTGGCTTCGTCTCGGCCACTATATAAGGAGACGCCGCCGAGTCATCGGCACAGTCGCCGGAGATTCCCTGTGGACATGAAGACTTTGGTAAAGAGTGCTTCCCTTTGCACCATTGTGCCTTTATGTTATAGCTGCCTAGATCAGTGAAAAGTTCAACAAGATTTTTTTTTTTTAATCTAAAAGCAAATGCAGTTCTTTTCCTAAACTTACCTCTGTTTAGACTTGAACTGAAGAGTATGTGGTTGTGTTGCAGGCCATCGCTGTCGCCCTCGTGGCGTTTGTAGGAGTCAGTGTGAGCGGAGATCCTGAAGCTGATGCTGAGCCCAGCCTATGAGGCGGCTTTGGAGGCATGGGGTGGTGTCCTACAGACCCGTGTACAACAGCTACGGCTACGGACGCTGGAAGAGGAGTGCTGAGCCGCTGAGGCTGAGGCTGAGCCCGAGGCCGATCCTTCCCGCTTCGGATACGGGCATGGCGGCTTTAGTCACGTGTCCTTCAGGCCCGTGTACAACAACTATGGCTACGGACGCTGGAAGAGAAGTGCTGAGCCTGTAGCTGAGGCTGAGGCTGAGGCCGAGGCCGATCCTTCCCGCTTCGGATACGGGCATGGCGGCTTTAGTCACGTGTCCTTCAGGCCCGTGTACAACAGCTATGGCTACGGACGCTGGAAGAGGAGTGCTGAGCCTGTAGCTGAGGCTGAGGCTGAGCCCGAGGCCGATCCTTCCCGCTTCGGATACGGGCATGGCGGCTTTAGTCACGTGTCCTTCAGGCCCGTGTACAACAGCTATGGCTACGGACGCTGGAAGAGGAGTGCTGAGGCTGAGCCCGGATTCAGCTTCGGTCACGGCTTCGGAGGTCACGGCCGCTTCGGAGGCTACAGGGGCTATGGAGGCCACGGCGGAAGCTTTGGTGGACATGGGCGTTTCTACGGCTGAAGGATTCCTTTTTCCCAAGATCAATAAAGCTGAGCAATTTCA